TTACAATCTTTTCATGATTTATGGATCAATAGAAATGTCTTTTAGTTTGAATTATTAATCAAATTATAATAATCTGATAAAAGATAAACTTTAACACATTTTTGTAATTGTTTAAATATTGTTTTAAGGGTAAATAATGATTGGATTATTTAAAATTGTTTTTGAGAAATGTCTTTTATAATGTTTATTATTTTTGATATAAAAGTTTTGATGTAATTTACAGATTTAAAATTTTATTTACTCTATTATGAATTTTGTAATTGTAATGCAACTTTGGTTTGTTAATTTACAAAAAACAAAATAATTACAATATACCATAATACTGTGTTATAAAAAACACCAATAGGCGTCTTAAGCTTAACTTTTGCTTATATTTAAATTCCTAATTTGGATAATGTATTACATGAATACAAATATAGATCTTATAAATGCTTATATAAATAATAAATACAAATACAAATAATATCAAAATTGTTTGTACGATATAAATGGAAAGAATGAAGAAATAAATTCATTATAATTGAGTGGCGTTTGTATGAAGAGATGAGTTGTCATGAGATGTGATAACTGGAGGCCAACACAGAGAGAAATATTGGCAGAGGAATGGATATTGTGAACACTCGGCAACATTGTATGGAAAGTCACAGTCATTGATGTATTCATTGAATAGTAACCCCGGATAGCAATCCAAGTGCTGTGAGCGGCCGGATATGTCGCACCTATAGAAGCGGCTGCAGTTGTGTTGGTCCTTCATATATGTATATCCATCGCACGGTAGCTCTGATTAAATCACAAAACCTTTAATTAATTTTTTTAAAACTAAAATTAGATTTTCTACATAGATTACTACTGTATAAGTAGGCATAAATACCAGAAATACTTTGATTAACTAAAATAATTAATACAAATATTAAACTATTCATAAATATTTTCATTTTTCGTAACATTTTATTTTACATTAAAATTCAAAATTATTTTAAGGAAAAATGAATTTTAAACACAAAAATTGCTTATTTTTAAATGATTTATCGCCTTAATGTATAAACGCTGAAAATATTCTTGCTATCAATTAATCACATTTTGATATCAAAGTACAGGTAATGTTATTTATGGTATATCTCTCTATTCAAATCAATCACTACTTCCTCATTGATATTCAAATATTTGAAGTTGTCTTTAATAAATACAACAAATATACATACATTTGAATAGATTTGATGAGAATTTTAATAGTACTCGTCTTTAACCAAAAACTTTCCGAAATAAATGTTTTGTTCAGATTTCTTAAAGCGCACGGAATCCCAATCAGTAGCCACTGTATTGTTTGGTGATATATCGTAAACTTGTTTACT